TTCAGAAGCTCAGCTGGGTGGTGAGTATGGACTTAACTCCGAACGGACTGACAACGGTGAGCGTCTGCTGCAACTGTGTGCGGAACACCAGTTGTTTCTTAATAGCACTACTTTTGGACGCAGTGGGCGCCAAAGTGCCACTTGGCGTCCTCCTGTAGCTGGCCAGCGATCTTCCCAAATTGACCACATGACCAAAGGTTACAAGTGCCGTGGTTCCATCCTTGATTGCCGTTTGTACTGGGGTACCTGCGTCGACTCTGATCATGCCTTCGTACGCTGTCGTTTCTCCATGAACTTTACCGGGAGGCGCACAAAGCGTCTCCTCCGATTGGCAACTGAGAAATTGTCTCAGCCCTCGGTTAGGCAAGCCTATCACGAGGCAATGCGTACCGAACTTCGCTGTTTTGTTCTACTGACAGCGACCTTCAGTGGAATAGAATCTTGTTTGCCATGCAGGAAGCATGAGCATCTGCTTGTGGCACTATCAGTGGTCACCGCACCAGTCACTGGAAATCTGAGACGTCGGTGAACCTGTTGGAATCTAGAAGACACGTCCCGGCTGGTTCTGAGCATAACGTGACCAGACGGGCTATTAGGCGCGAACCAAAGCGGAACTTACGTGCTGACATGGAACACTGGTGGACCATTTGGGCTCAAAAATGGAGGTGGCGGGAGCAGTAGACAATTACCGTAAGCTCTTCCAGCTTATCCGCACCAGTGGTCCCAGGAAACCAGGCGTCAGTGAGACAATCAGAGACAGCGCGGGTGCACTGATACAGAACAAGGAGCACCGTATGGCTCTTTGGGCAAAACACTTTCAAGATCAGTTCAGCTGGCCTCCTGCTCCCGGACCTCTTCCTACTCAGGTGATGCAGGACGAGCCATGGACGGTTAGTTTAGAGCCTCTGTCGGAGGCCGAGGTCCGAAACGCGATCACAGCCCTCAATCGTTTTCGTGCGGCTGTCCTGGATTCCCTCCCACCTGCACTATTTGAGGATGGATGTTAGGTCCTCTGCGAAGCACTTATCTCCGTATTCGAACGTATCTGGAAGGAAGAGAGTGTCCCGGTTGATTGGAGCGAATCGATTATAGTGGCCATATTCAAGAAGGCAGTCGCACAGACTGTGCTAAGCACAGGGGTATTAGCCTAACGCCAGTTGTGACAAAATTACTGTCCTCGATTCTAGTTCGTCGCCTCGCTTTGGAGCAGGTATCGGATTAGGGAAAAGCAGGCCGATTTCCGCCCAGGACGTGGCTGTATAGACCATATATTCACTTGCGGCAGGTGCTAATGCAGCGCCATGCATACCGCAGACCGACAATAGCTGTGTTCCTTGATTTCAAGAGTGCCTTCCATTCAGTCGATCGATGCATTTTGTTCGAAATACTTGCGCGGCAAGATGTTCCCACGAAATATGTGAACATCCTACGTGCTCTATACTCGAACACTACAGGCCGCGTCAGGGTCTACGGTGTCTTATCGGATAGCTTTCCGACCACAAGTGGTGCTCGTCAGCGTTGTCCGATTTCCCCATTTTTGTTTAATTTCGTCGTGGATTCGGTCATGGAGTGTTCCCTGGTAGAATGTTACGATGTAGGCGTTGAAGTGCTGCCTGGTAAATGATTGGCTGATCTTGATTATGCGGACGGTGTCTTGCTTTTCGGCGATGTTGGGGTGGCACAATCAACCCTGAATAGCCTATCCAGTGTGGTCCCATTATTTGGTATGCACTTCGCACCTTCAAAGTGCAAAGTGTTGCTGCAGGACCACCAGCCACTTGATGACCCTTTGATGCTTGCTAACGAGGAATTCGAGGTGGTTGATCAATTCATTTACCTTGGCAGCTGCATCAGCAACGACGGGCGCATAGAAACTGACGTCAGCTCACGCATTGCAAAGGCCAGAGGTGCCTTCTTGAACCTGCGGCATCTTTGACTTCAGAAGTGAGTTTACCTACGTCTGATAGGCCGTGTATTCAAGGCCACAGTGAGGGCCGTTCTGCTCTATGGTAGTGAGACTTGGCCCCTTCGGTCTGAGGATCTGCGGCGCCTTCAACTCTTTGATCATCATTGTCTGCAAAGTATTGCTGGTATCAGATTGCACCAGCGTGTCCGCAACGATGATGTGCGTAGGCGAGTACTAGGTGGTGATAATCATGCTGGCTCCCTAGAACAACAGAGAGCACTGAATAATTTGCGTTGGCTCGGGCACGTGCTACGTTTGCCTGGTCACCGCTTACCTAGAAGGGCCTTGTTTAGTCTGCCAGGTATAGGGTGGCGCAAGGCTCGCAGTGGACAGAAGTTGACTTGGCAAAGGGAAATGAAGTTATTGACGACCAAACTGGATGCCGTTGGTCCGTCTCGCCTTCCAGGCTGGAGTCCATGTGACTCGCCTTGTGCTTGGCTTGAGAGTTTACAGGACATGGCTCTCATTCGACACCAATGGCGCGTCTGCTGCCGTCTCCTACTCGGATTGTCTGTTTAAAGTGTGTTTGGTGCTGAGTTATCTGCGGGGTAATGGCTGATTATGACGCGAGGCAGTGAAAGCCGCAAGGAAGCTGTCTCGCCGATGCCCCCTTATCTTTGCACGATAGCCAGCTGTTTGTGACGGTATGTTGTTAACACAAGATGTAGGCACCTTGACCCTGAATGTTTGCTTAGGGCATTAAGGTTTTCCGGTAAGTCCCCTTTCTCTCCGTCTGCTTATTGTTTATTTCATAGGTCCTCATGGTTGTATGGCAGCAAAGCATCTGTTCAAACGGCTGATGTACTGCTGTTGTTGTTGATGAGTGTAGGGTGGGTGAATGCTGCAGATGCTCGTCGTTGCGTTCCATATCGTGTTTAGCTGGTTTTCTTCGTCTGAAGGCTGGATGACCTTCACGGGCTTCTTGGAAATACGGGATGTCGCGGCTGTGCAAGCTTTATATCGGCAAACTAGGGTCAAGTGCCTTTATTTTCCACATTGGCAGCAGATACTCTGTTTATGACGACATTTGTCGGCTGATAATTACTGACATCCCCCTCGCGAAACGATAAAAGGGTATTCGGACCATTTCTGGGTAACATCTTTTCGGTTGACTGCTGGGATTGTGTCTCTTACGAGGGAAAAGCTGCTAACTGTTTATGAACATTCTCCAGCTGTCGAACAATATTGCAGGCCTTCTCCCAGCTCATCGTCGTCTCATCTTCCGACAACAACCTTTCACGAGCTTGTTCGTTAGGGATACCGGATATCAAGCACTGTAAAGCCATTGCCTCTTCGAACTTCATAGCTGGGATTTCACTATACCGGTACTCTGGTCGGGCTTGCTGAATGCGCGCAATGAAGTCAATGACACTTTTTCAAGGTTTTGACGCAATCTCGAGAAAAAGAACCGCGCAGTCTGTGTTCGATTGTGAACCTCATAACCGGCTGAGGACTTCTAGCTCGCTGTTAACTGTCTCCTTACCGATGTGGAGGGCATCAAAATTTCTTTGGCCTTCATTCCCCAGAAACCCTCACTTTAATTTTGTGGCTTTCTGAGAGTACCGTGTTTTGTTGCAAGACGGATTGTATCTCCAAATAATCCAAAAAGATGCGCTTCCAGTGGTTCCAGGTGGCCGGTGTTGGTTTATCAGAAGGAATATTCTAAACTAGTGTAGGAAGGTGCAACATCGCAGTAGTTTAACCTCGCCAGGATGTTAACTATGGCCCTTAGTCGATGAACGAAACAGAACGCGCAAGCTTGTATGGAACCGATTTACTAAAAGCATACTGCGTTACAGTGGCTAGAAAAGCCGGAAAGGAAAACCAATGAAATAAGAAAAGTAGGGCATGGTCATTCTCAATCAATTGTGTGGGGGCCTGTGTTTACGAATTGATAATCAAGTGCGTACGTGACCAAGTTAGACTTAGTGTTTCATGGGTTGCGAGTATTCCATACAATAAGGTGGTTTCGCTGTACCAACTGAGATTGCTCGGTCACGTTCTGCATATGTCATCTGCTTGTTTACCTCACCGTACTCTGTCCGCTCTTTCATGATTGGGCTGGGGAGACCACATGCTACTCGGCCGTCTACCTGGCCAGAGCATTTGAGATCACTAACTTTACGTCTAGCAGCAATTGGATCCACATACCTGCATAGTTGTGGACCCAAAGACGGAGAGTGCTGATTGCTGGAAACGCCTCAAGTTATGGTGAGCAATCGAAATCGGTGGAACATTTTCGTACGTAATTGTTTGGATTCACTTGACAAAGGAAAAGTGGCGTGAGAAAATAGCAGTTTTCCTTTTTTCTTTTTGTGACAGTTGTATCTTTGCACCTTCCCTAGATTTACCTGGTTTTATATGGTCCTGTTCATTTCATTTGATTGTTGTAAAATATATTTTTTGTATATTGTGCCTTAATTTTTTATGCTTGCAAAACCGACACCTAAGTTCTCTTTTTCTCAGTTGCCCAGATCTGAGTGCTTCACACTAACTTAATCACCATATCGAGCCGGTTTCGCATCAGCAGCAGTACGTTGGCACACCCAACAGGTGCTTCGCGCGTGGTCTGTATATACCGCTAGGTCACCCGCACCTACATGGCTTCTAACTGGCGACCTATGGAATACAAGACAAGCGCTTAGACCTTTCGGACACCGGTCAGCTAACGAACTTAGGTCTCTACGAGGCTATACAACGTGACAATGCATGTTTTCTTATTTACACACTAACGACTCTTATTTGCACATTTGTCGGATGTTGCCATCATCGCGGTCCTCTAACTACCTGTGTTTGATTAATAATGGAATCGATTTTTGACTTTTTATGCAGATTCAGATATTTTATTAGCATTGTATCATACTTGACGTCTCCAGAGTGGTACTTCCCACTCATACTGGTATGGAGCTTCTTATAATTTCATGTATCTAATTGTTTGCCTTGACATTGAAATACCTCCGTGTCCCTCTGTTCTGCACAACTCACTATCTTCATATGCTTTCAGCACTTGACATATTTCATTTGTCCCCGAACCATGATGCAACCTCAGCAACAGCAGATGCAGCCCCCAGTGCTGCGTATTATCATGGTCGGCTCAGGGGGTGTTGGCAAAAGTGCTCTCACATTGCAGTTCATGTATGACGAGGTAAGTGGAAATCATTTCATCTTCCCTTTGATATCTTTTTTACAGTTCATTGAAGACTATGAGCCCACGAAAGCCGACTCTTACCGTAAAAAGATTATCCTCGACGGACAGGAGGTCCAAATAGATATACTTGACACTGCAGGCCAGTAGCTTTTCGTTACCCCGTTTTTTCTTACTGATCATAATCATCCCAATTAACTGGTTCTTAATGACAAGCTGCTTTCTCCCTTCTTTGGCAGTAAGGTGAATCGCTTTTACCGTCGGTTTTCTACATTACCTTCTTGTGGAAGTACAGCGCTGCTTATAAACGGCGGTAATAGGGTAGTCTGATGAGCAGTATCACAGTCCCCAACAGTTTCTTGATTCGATTTTTTCTGCTGCATCAGCTAGTTGTCAGAAGGGACAAACTAGTTATCAGAACTGGCATCTGTAGACTAGAAATTATGTCACTGCAGTTTGACCGCTCAAAACAAGCCACTTTTAATCTAACCACGTTTTCCAGTGCAATAGCCGTTGTAGTCCATTTCGGCACATCTCGAGACTTGTCCAGAGGAAGATTATCATCTACTGAGTAGTTTTTCCATGACACACACGATGACCAGAATGACATATCCTCAAAATCCACCACCAACCACATTGTGTTTACAGACAAAACTCGGGATTCCGGCAGGCTATTCGAATGCCACTATGCGGTGAATTCTCTTTTTCCTCTATCCACTGAATTACTCAGAATTGCAATTTACTGACGCGTCCGGACCACCGGCAACAAACGGACCAACGATTTAGCAAACGCATTCTGCATAGGTCTTATTTAATCGATTCTCAAATCAGACGTAGACTACACTGCACAGGTGTCCCGAAAAAGCTATTATCTCAGTGACTAATCGAGTGCTGCCGATTATCGCCTCGATTTAGAACTTTCTGGAATGTTCTAAAGTTTGCACGTCCTGAAGATTGGACGGATCGGCATGGAACTATTAATTTTGACGGTCGACCTTGCTATCCCAGAAGTCGCAGGTCAGTAAGCGACCTATAACTACAACCAAGGTCTGTTTTAGTTGTACACTTTATTTTGGCGGCGATTGACGTTTTTTTCTTTTGAGGTCATTTGCGTTCTGATTTTTCCTTTGCTCAGGCTAGAGGTCTTGTGGGGCAGTAAGTGCATATCTCGGAATCCCGATAAGTGGGAAGATTCTAAAAACAGATATCGGTGGTCAAAACTTGTTCATCTAATATCCTCGGTGCGTAGTGTCCAGACTTCGCATCCGTAGAGTAAAACTTCTCACACTGCAACATGTTGCAGACTCTCTCTCTCTAACCAATGAGCTTCTATCCCACTGAATCCATAAATGGTTAAATCCAGGAAAAGCCATACAATGCTTTTGGTTATCGCATCATTTCTCGCACCACCAGAGGTTATGCAGCCATTTAACTTAATAAACTGATGGACCATTTCGAACAACAACAAACGGCCCAGTGTAACACTACACAACATTGTTAACACCTAAAGCACATGTGAGGCTCGAAACGTGCTTCAGCTTGTATACCAGCTAGATCCGAGGTAAAAATAGCCGTTACATGCGCATTCTAATTTGAACAGCATTTCACCTTACATTGCCTCCATTTTAGAAGTGGTGGAGGAATGCAGAGTGGAATTATTCATAGTGGTTTCGATTACCAACGTGAACAGAGGGGAGGGATTAGGTCAACTTTGGATCACTCCACTTTTCGCCGAACTATCTCGTATGCCAGCTACGTTCGGGTTTATCACGTTCCGGCAAATGATTCAGTGGTAGGGTTCTAGGAGGTGATGGTTTCTCGCCCCTCAGGCGTCCTCTCCTTAGAAAACCATAGCTATCCGTTTAACAACACCGTGACGTGACGGATGTGACTCGCCACTAACTAAGACCACTGCTCCCTGCTTCATCCCGGTGGAGCATTTTATTATAGCAACCTGATGCTGTAATTATGGGAGGGATTGGGCACCTTTTTGGCAACCGACCAGACGAAAGGCGTGCGAATTGGGTACTCAGTTACCGGCTCTCAATGAGCGCGGTTCCCTGAATTCGCCCCACTATCTTGCGGGTAGGTTATTCAGCTACTGGCTCAGGGTGGCGTCCCTTACGTCCACTCCCTACTTAGGCTTGGGCAACTGGGTAGTATTGTACCTTCTGAAGACGTCTTAAATTTCTCTTTGTTCTGTTCCGTTATCTTACCTTCCTTTGAGTTCTATGGTTTTCGATGGCTGTGTTTACTCATAGGCTGCTAACATGTATCCACTGCTCCGGCAGCCGCGGCATGAATACTTTGGAAGGGAGCAACGTTTCTCAGGCACGTATTTCAAGGTTAGACACAGCCACCATCAACAGGATCAGAGGCAGCTTTCAGATCAAGAAAGAACAACATAGTAGGCTCCTTGTGACTATGGTGCTGTTCAAGCGCCCATCGAAGAGCAAAATGTGGTACAAATCCGCCTGACTTTTACTGATTCGTTTCTCACGTGGCTCAACAACAAAATGCGCATCAGTAATTTAGAGACGATTTGAATAACATTGATATTACGATGCTTTTAACGGGAACTTTTTTGTATCTCTTTGAATGACATTTGGCAAACGCCAACCAGAAACTGCTTTCTCTTAGCACCAGAGGGCATCGATCAGTGATTAGTGCCTTCACTACTGAGTCACCACCGTCTTTCGACAACGACGACGGAAGTTCGTATGTGCCTGACACTTTATTACGTTTTAGCAACACTAACCCATTTCGGGTTGTTGTGAATGTCCTGGATTACAGGTGACCCATATAACCATACTTATACATCAATTAGGTTGGATTGCTCCTCAAATACTCCACTCAACATTTGAGTCGACTGAAAGTGAATGAATTGCCCATTTTCACACGCGGAAACCCTTCCTGGATCCGTACGTCCAACATAATTGAATAACGCTACGATTGCCGTTTGCGCTGGCCTTCTCCATCTCAAGGGCTCTCACGATTCAACATGGCTGTCGGTTGATTTTCAGACTTCTAGTCATGCAGCGCTTCACTGTCACGAGCACTTCGAGCTAACATCCCCATGTAACCACCTTTCTTGATTCATATCGGATTATTCATACTCCAGTAATCCATCCACTATTCGAGCACCTTTAGCTGGTTAGACAAGTGACTTCCAGTGTTTTTTGTGTTGCACATTCAAAGTACTTGCGGTCAGTATTCGGTTCGCCTGTGCCCTCGCTCACAGTTATGGAACAGCTTGCTTACTTCACTTATATAGTAGTGGTCCGCATCACGGGTGGTGGCTGTTTTGGCGATGACATCACACAACAGATTCCAAAAGCTCACCTTGCATTCATCGAACTGCTTCACATCATGGCATCGCCATAATGCGTGTGTGGTGGCCACATCGCGTGAACAATCCGGACATTTGTGACAGAGTGCTTTAAGAGAACTGTCCCTATTCCCAAAACATTGTTCTCTGACATCGCATGTGTTGGCTTTACCAGGTACTGTACATGCTACTCTACTGGCTTCCCTGTCTGACGTTGTTCGCGCTTCCCGAAAGCAATTGGAAATACTGCTGCGATGGACAACCTGTAACATGGAAAAGGAGCATCAGTCAGACCAGTCCGTCTTTCAAGCTTGGGATTACACGACACAGACTCACGATGGTTACAGATGTTCAGTGTTGTGACCCGCAGCTGTGCGTTCAGTCCTCATGTACGGATGCGAAATCTGGCCCATCAGGTCGGCAGACATAAAGTGGTTAATTACGTTCGACCATCACTGCTTTCGCATTTCAGTCCATATCTGGTGGGAACAGCGCGTGTTCAGCGTCGTGTATTTGGTGTAGGAATGGCGAGTAAACTGTTGTGCACCATTATATCACGCACCAGACTTCCATGGCTGGGCCACGTGTTTCCCATGCCAGCAAAAATACTCCCGCGACGTGCGTCGTTTGCGCGACCGATGTGTGGATAGAAGAAGAGGAGGGGGCCAAGCGATCACTTGGTCTAAAGACATGAAGACGCTCACTTCGAACTTGGCGCCGGTTCATGTCTCCTGGCTAAGGTCTGAAGGAGGATGAACACGTTTGGATGGATACACTTGTTGACATGGCCAGGAACCGATCTCAGTGGCGTTTGTGTTTTGAGCTTCTTTGTCTCTCCCGCTTCACTTTCCTCTTTAGCCACAATCACTTCATGCATAACATGACCCTTTTTTGATTTTTGGGTTCTGTCATATTTAACATTTCCATTTTTCATATATCTTATCTTTTTTGTACTGCGGTACAATAGCCGTCTCCCACCTGTAGTTAACACGTATTGCTTACGATGTGACCCACAGAAGACATCAGTAAATCCAGTATTTTTCTGCCATATCCTCTCTCATTTATTTCCCCTGCGAAGGCCAAACGGCGTGTATGAAGCATACTATGACATTTTCCATCCGGTTGCCTCCAGTAAAGCGTTCAACATGACTCAACTTGACCTTTATTCGCTTGAAACCTGGTGCTCAAGGTGGAAAATGTTGTGCAGTGTCCCACAAGTGCGATTTGACTCATCTCGGTCTGCTTCTTGATCGCAAACCACTTCATTTCTATCCTGCTGTAAGGGACTTAACATTGCGTTATTCATGTTCACGTGACTTCTGTGAACTGTTAGGCTATGCCACCGCGTGAGCAGGATGGAAAATTGGTCTTCTTATTCAGCACTTTTTCCCTGCATGAATCAGTATTTCATTCTTAAAAATCATTTGTTCGACCCACGTTGGAATATTGTTCCACAGTGTATGGCAGCTCAAAAATTGCGATCACATTACACTGGAACAAGTACAGAGAGCATTCACAAAGTGCTGTCTAGGTGCTTCATCAAAACTGGAATATTATGAACGATGTGGTTACCCAAAGCTTGATCTGCTCTGGCTTCGACGCATAAAGGACAACGTAATCCTATTTTTCAACTTCTTGCACAGAATTATACACGGTTTCAACCTTACCATGACATTAATGCAATCAGTAGTCTACAACATACTAAACAAACAGAACCCAGTGGCAGAATACAAGTCCAGGACAATCAGATCTGACAACATTAACAAGTACGCCAGAGTCTGGAACACGCTGCCACTCGGAGTAAAAACCTGCAC